AATTATTCAAGTGCGTGTATTTGATAACAGATAGGCCCTAATGTCCCTGTGGGTTAAACGCGGTAGTACTACAGACGCAAGTTCATTGCAAACTAATGAAAATTGATATGGAAATATTCATTGATATATTCTAACATTAAATGTATTTCTGTGGCTTTTTCTTTACTTGTAATGGTTATGTTTTATGAGTAACCATAAAATTTTATTGGGTGAATGCCATATCAACACAATTTGATAATGTACCCAATTTACGTACCAAATTTATTTCGGGGATTCGCGTGTATAATAGTATTATTATTATTTTGTCTTTTTAATTTTTAATTTTTTTTTATTTATTTATTTTTTTCATATATTGTGTTAATCATTCGAAGTTGCTGTAAAAAATAGAAATTTTATATAATAGTAATCTGATGATTAGAATGTTCTAATTAGTACAACGACAGTACAACGTGATCAGGTTTTATAAAACAGTCTTCAAAGGTAATTTCGTTTTAACGCTAAATGCCTGTTTAAATTATGCGGAACTGTGAAACCTAAAATATAAAATAATTATATAGCTATTAGGCCTAAATACAAATCCACCTGAGGGGACGTATTTACAAATCCTAGTGCGGTCATTGTACTCTTTAAGGAAACCGTTACTAATGATGTCAACTTCTAAAGCGATGACATTACATTTTTTTTAAACATTGTTTTCACCATAAATTGTCAATCAAAGGTCGTTGCGTTTTGCTTTAACATTGAGCGATGTATTGTAGCACTTTTAAAAATTGCTTCCAAATGGTTAGAATTTGTCTTTTGTTTTGAATTCTGGTAGTTAAATATTGTCACTATCATGGACTATATTTATTTTTGACAATGTTCTAATAAAGAACGAAACATATAATCAATTATGGCCTCACGTTGGTCATTCTTCGGAGTTACCATAATCATATTCTAGTATGTTCTGAATGTTTAAAATGATTATAAAATAAAATAGACTGCTTTGCTAAGACTAATAATAGTATACAGCATAAGGTTCTTTTATTTTTCTTTATATCAAATAAATAAAATAAAAATAGGAAAAAAATGCAAAATCACAGTGTCCCATTAAAACCCAGAGCAGTGACGGGTCTATGATTTAAGGAGGGCGAGTATAGGTAGATTAAAAAGGTTGCTTAGACGTGGGCGCTCGCCCCTCCCCCCCCCCGGCGCCACGCCCACTTTCGAAAATATAAAAAGTAAAACACAATTATGGCCTTAGTTTATCCTAAGTTTATAATAAGAATGATAACGATGGTTTTTGGACTAGTTACTGTCGCACGTATAAGACGACCTACTGTTTTCCGATCGTGATTTACAATTTTAAGCCTCGTCTTATACGCGAGTATATATGCTAAAATTTAGATACTTTATCGAAAAAAGGCCTACCCCATCTCGTATTGTTCATGCCCAGTGCATCATATTACTGTGTCTATACATGTAAATATAGGAAAATGCTGACAAACTAAATTGTATTTGCTTCCTTTATTAAACCGTCTAAAAATGTTAAGATAAGCGAAATAGGCAAAGCTCGCCCCCTGGAACCCCCAACAGGGGCCCTTGGCGGCCGGGTCCCCCAGCCTATGGGAGAGGGACACCTCCTACTAAACCCTACGGTCCTCGATGGGCCGCTTCGCGCCAACCCGGCTCAGAAGTCCTGGATCCACCCCTGAAAAAATAAATAAATTCATTGAAAATACAAAAACAAATTTATTAACTCAAAAACATTTTGTTTGAACTCACAACACAGAAGGTTTTCTTTTCTAAAATTTATTTTTGCGAATTGCTGAAACGCCAAAATCCAAAGCCTATTGTAATTACACCAAAAACGAGTACACCGCCGATAATTTCCAACCGCGTTATTCTTCCTGACACCGTTTCTTTTTCTTCACTGTCCGCTGGACCAACGACATTATCAGTGTCAGTCACTTCATTCACTTCAGGTACATTTGTGGTTTTCTGTGGTTGCTGTGGGGTTGCATCTACTGGAGGGTCATATCGTTCAACTTCAGGCTTCTCGGTGTTAATGGTAGTGATATCACCTTCCATAGCTGTGGTGCTTTTTGGTTCAGTCACAAACTCTGACCCGTTGGCCAAGCCAAGAGTAAAGAAAACGTACATCCATTTAAATTCCATTTCATTCCAGCAGTATCGTTTATTATATACATTTACTAATATATGTTTTCCTAGTCGTCGGTGCGTAGGTCCTTCAGTAGGTGGTGAATTTCGAATGTTAGCCACCCTATTCACCACTGGACCCGTCCCATGCAAAGAAGCTGGTAGGAAAACGTTAACTTCTCGTGGTAGCCTGAATTACAATTAAAAAAATCCACAATCTCTGCGTTTTTTTGCGCCATAGAAAACCTATGTAGTTTCAATACAAACGATGACTTTCTGTTTGTATGTAGGACTACAGCTGATCATTATCCTACTTTTGGAAACGTTAGTAGAATTGTCATTTGCTTTGTCGGCTGATAATTGACTGATGTATTAATTGACTGTAAGAATATGCATTGTAATCACAATGTAAACATTTATGTTGGACGTTCTTTAAACAGGTTTTGTTATAGACAAGAAATTATTCCAAATCTTCCTCAGAAAGTGTGAATTCCATTTATTGAATTATAACATTTATTATGTTCTTGCTTTAAATGTGGATAAAAATGGTGTTTTAAAATGAGGGATATATAAAAATTAATCTAAAACATGAAAAAGTATTTCGTTGCTGTATTTTTTGTAGTATGTTTGTTGAAACGCCGAGCTAAACAGTTAAGGGGAAAAGAAAAGAAATAAACAACATAGTGGTAAATGTGCCTTAAAGAAATTCAGCAAAATTTTCAGTAAAAAGATGAGTTTTGAGTCGTGTTTTAAAATGTTGCAGTTAGTCTGTATTCTCGATTTGATCTGGAACTGCAAGGTGGACGCATTGTGAATTTCCCGTAAGCCCTACGTAATAGTTGTGCTTTTCGGAACTCTTAGAATGCATTTGAATATCTATATGAATATACAGTACTAAAGTGAGTTACTTATCTTGGCACTGTTTCTACTATTATTAGCCATGGCGTAACAACGAGTCATGTGGCCCTGGCGCGAAAAAATGTTGAGGCTGAATGTGTTCAGTATTGTTCGTATTTAGAAGCCGGACGCAGTAGTTTGACGCAAACGCCAAAACAACTGGATAAATCCACTATTATCTTATACTCTCTGTTTTGTATAAAAAAGTTGCTGAGATACGCGTTGGTTCTGACCGTGATGGTTCTCGCTGCCAAAAGCTAGTGAGCACAGCGTTTATGTAATCACCTAATTTTAAGTGTGTAACATTTAAAATTAACTGAGGTGACTCTTACGTGCGTTTTGCGTTTCTTACGCGTCTATTTCAAAGTAAATCACACTAAAATTTTGCCAATAGGCCTGTTGCGTTTGTTGGATTTACTAAATTAAATTACATTTTTTCCCCCAAATTTTAAACCATGATTTACTGACCAGTGCGCCGTAGCCTGTGACAGCTTAAAATTAAGTGATTGGAATACAAACAAACATCTATTTACAAATTTTCTCTTTTTTACTTCGGAAAGTGATACAGTAAGCTAAATACATTATATCACGAATAGTAAATATCAATTTACATAAAGTATTACAAAAATAAAGGTAAAGGTTACTAAAGGTAATTAATTTTTGAAAAATATTTAAATATAAATTATAAACTTATTGAAAATACAAAAACAAATTAATAATATTAACTGAAAAATATTTTGTTTCAATTTACATTTTATTGTCTCCATTAAAAATGTGTGAGTGAAAAAATGTTTAATTATTTGAATAATGTAATAAAGATAAAATTTCTCTTATATTGTTGACTCATTACATATTATAGGAGTGATGTTTTGCCCTATCTGACGTGTTATCGTACTGAATTCTAAATAGGTAGTTTTCGCCGCACGACGTTAACGTTAACGTTAACGGATGACGTCATAATTTCTTCATCTTGTGTTGCGGAGTACGCTCATTTTAGGATTTTAATTCCCCCACGTACGTTAGTTACTGGTTTACGCATGCGTATTCGATTTGTTTACAAAAGGGGCGAAGCTATCACGTTGCATGTTGGGTTAACGTCGTGCAGTAAAAACTACCTATTACGTTCCAAAATACTTACAAAACAAATTCGCAAGTAATTCGGTTGGGAATCGAACCCACGACCTCGAGATAAGAAGCCCGGTGTTATAACCATTAGTCTATCGGGTTCAACACTACTTACTTAGCGCAAGCTCGGTGGTCTAGCGGTTATGACACCTGTCAAGTTTTCTTGAGGTTGTGGGTTCGATTCCCGCCAGAATCACTTGCGATTTTTTTCGCAAATACTTGGGATTGTACTGAGTATTCAGTACGATAACACGTCAGGTAGGGTAAATATCACTCATATGATGTTTCCCTGACACAAACACACATCGAAATAACATTTACATATTAATAATAAAAGTAATAACCACACTCCCATCCAATCAAACACACACAAACATACACTTCGTCCAACATTTAAACAAAAGAAAATCATTACATCTGTTACAGTAAACCTCTGTTTACACTAGCACGTTTCAGACTCAAACGTCTTTGTTGCTTTTGGAAAAACAGTTCAGCTACATTAACATGCCTAAATGTGACATGCCTAAATATGGCCATGATACATCACATAATGACCATGTATAGGCATCTTACGACTATATATGGGCATGCAACAGTGTTTTGTCAAAGAAAATTTAATAGTCTGGACAGAGCTTTAGGCTGTGGTCGTCAGACTGCAAAAGCAATATTTCTTTTGCTACACATGAAGTTTGCATTGCTTCAAATGGCTCACTTTGAAAATCAGGGCTGATGCGTTGTGTTATCGACGTTTACGTCAATAACGCGTCAAGTGTGAAAAGTGTTAGGTAGGTCTACATGGCAAATGTTCTAAACTACTTCAATCAACAAAAACTCACAACTATAATTCCAAACATCCACAATGAGAACGACTGAAAAATATCTGCAAACTACACTCACTATATTTTAAAATATTATTCTAATGCAATAATGCTGACCCATGTAACCAGCCTAGTAGGCCTATAACACCAACACAGTCATTTTTTTTCTATAGTTCATTATCGTGACTTGCTGAAACGCCAAAATCCAAAGCCTATAGTAATTACGCCAAAAACGAGTACACCGCAGATAATTTTCAATCGTGCCATTTTCCCTGACACCGTTTCTTTTTCACTGTCCACGGGACCAACGACGTTATCAGTGTCAGTTCCCTCCAAATTACTATTCTTAGCTTTATCGTTTATAGTATTGTTGTCGATCTCATTAGGAGTTTCTGTAGTTTCTGTTTCTGCGTCATTCGATTCTTCTGCTTCGTTTTCGTTTTCATTGACTTCGCTTTGCATCTCTGGGACCTCAACTTCATTCACTTCAGGTGCTTCTGTGGGATCTGTCACATCGCCGGTTGTGTCCACTACGTCATTTGGGCTAATGGTTGTCGCTGAGGGTTCGGATTTAGTCGGGCTCATGTTTTCAGGTTGTTGTGGGACTGCATCTACTGGAGAGTCACCTCGTTCAACTGCAGGCTCTTCGGTTTTATTGGTAATGGTATCGATGGTGGGCATAGCAAAATGATTTGTAAAAATCATTGACGGATTGTTGTTCGTTATACTTGCTGTAGTCTGCGAAAGAGATTTAGGAGATTCAGTTTCTTTTGCCCCCATTGTTTTACTCACAATTTGTGGTGAATCTGAAGGATTACTGGAGCCTGCATTTCCTGTAGCCTGATCGGCTGCTGGAAGTTCATTTGGTGCTGTAAAAACTCCACCAATACCTCCTTCAACCGATGCTACTAAGCTAATTCTTGTCGGTTGCTCTGCTTCTGGTTCATAAAAGATTGCATTTTTAGATGGTGGTTTTGTTGTTTGCGTTTTCGTAACAAATAGTATTGACGAAGCATTACCCCGGAAACCATAAAAGTCATACACTATACATGTGATCATTCTACCGTGGTCGCTTAATGTCACAGGGTCTATTCTTAGTCGAGGATGTCCATCCCTGAATGACATTCGCGGATCACGGATGTCTAATTCTTCTTCCCCAATTTGCCAATATACGTCGTAATTTCTCATATCACCTGGTGCAATACAGGTGAAGGTTGATCGTGAACCTTCATCAGCAACTTTGAGCTGTGGTTTTATTTGAACTGATATATCAAGGCCCAATGCTGTCAGACTGCAAGTACGTAGAGTATTTATAATGGCGATTCCTGTCGCTTCACATATAAATTCTACACCACGATCAGTGGCTTCTAAGACTTTTCGGTAACGATTCTGTGTGAGCTCGCCAGATTTACCATAATCTCCTGTTAAAATTTCGTTACCACGGAACCAGGTAAGGGTTGCTGGTGGAAGCCCTCCTGCAGATTCGCATACTAGATCGACAGTGTCGCCGATAACCGCTCCTTCAGGTTCAACGCGACATCTAGGAAAGTCATTACTAGGTGGAATCAATACACTTAGAGTGGCATGACGAGAGATTACCTTTGCACCAGAAGGTTCACTATACAAACAAGCGTACCTACCAATGTCTGATTTCTTTACATCATTAATCAACAAGGTGTACTCGCCAGCAGATGGTTCACCGATGATTCTATACCTATTCTTCATGTCCTCTCCAAAGTTATCATACGGGTCTATTATATAATCTAAACTAATGTATCGTCCTGTGTGTACTCTCTGCCAGTATATTGTTCCACGATCTGCTCCAGTAACTGAACAAGCCAACATAACCGCTTCACCTTGCATAGCTGTGGTGCTTTTTGGTTCAATCACAAACTCAAACCCGTTGGCTAAGCCAAGGATAAACAAAACGAAGATCAATTTAAATTCCATTTCATTCCAGCAGGATCGTTTATTATTATAAATAAGTTTACTAAATGTTCTCCTAGTCGTCTGTGCGTAGGTCCTTACTCGGTGGTGAATTTCGTATGTTTGACGCTGTAAAACTTTGTAGCACTCTTTTGAATGTTTTATATTTTCCGTCAATTAAGGTTATTTCCTATGACTGGATTGGATAAAAACCCCTGACATCACTCTAAACCAAGTAATTGGAAATCTCTGACTTTAAATGAAGAAAACTTTCATATGCGTTTATGGTGGCTCACAGCTGTTTGTCTCATGTCTCTCTTATAATATTTTTTTTGACATTTCAAATACATGAAGCAGATTTTTATGACGTATTATATTATGTTCATTAAGTGTTGACTACGATTGATTAGGATCGGTTTATTATCAATTAAATGGAACAAAGACGTATGTTAACAGTGGTTATTGGTGTATTAATATTTAATTGGTATTGGTGTATTAACACTTAATACAAACATATTCATAAATATAATTGATTTATATTTAGAATGTTTTAAAAATATATTTAATTGCTCCTAAAACTTCAAACATAATAAACACCAACTTTTCTACGTAAATATTATTTATCATAGTTATATACATATTATTTTAATTATTATTTGTTGGGGGTCATTCCACTTTTATTTACTATTTTCCTTGGTGTTTTTTTTAAGTTCATTGAATGTTCTATAGGCATTTACATATTACTTCTTACATTCGAACGTTCTTAAAAAAGCTAAATAACATTATTGTTTGTAAAACATATCATGCAAGACATTTTAAACATTTTGTACCAGAATTGTATTCTGCAATAAAAAGACTATTGATTAAGCTATGTTTCCACCTATTGAGATTTTTAAACACATTTTCTTTTATATACAAAATATTATAATTATTAATCATCGCTATATACAAATGAATATATTATTGAATGTTATTATTATTTTTATGATATTTATATTTAAATTATTATTATTCATTATTGTTATTATTATCATTATGCCATTATAGTTCAGTAAGATCATTACAATCACTATGCACAAAGTTACAGTATTAGTAATGGGAATAAGTAACAGTCTTTATTAAATAATTAGTTGAAATTTAGCTTTAAACATACAAAAATCAAACATTAACAAAGTTTTTGCGCTTTACACTAGAACAGACGAGTAGACTAATATTTATCGACGTGTGCAACAACCAGTGTAATCTACTCTTCGTATAATGAAATCGGCACGTTGTAACGTGCACGTGTAAACGCGTATTAAAACCTTTATAGGATGGTTTGGTGGTTAACACTGCATTTTTAACGTGTTATATACAAACGAAAATAACACTGTCAGTGCAAACAGACGATTTTTGGTGTGAACAAATTAAGCACTTTCTGCAACCCTTGTACTGCAACTCTGAGAGTTACGAACTATCATCAGGTCCGAAGGTTCAATCCAGATCAACTATGTCCTTTTTTCAAAATGGAAAATTTTGATAGGGAAATATCAACGTCTTCAGTTTATTTTAAGTTGCATGTGGCTGCGGCTAATGTCAGTTTGATAACGTTTAAAGAACTACATGCAGATCCCCACGTTGCTCTACACATGGCGGTATACAAGTGTGCTCTACATGTGTGACGAAGTCTGTCTAATGAAAAAAAAAATACCATCCACTTCCTAAATATTAGTACGCCTACTGCCCGAACGAGAGTACAGGAAAATAAAATGTATATTGAAAATTGTAAAAAATAAATAATTAAATAAATGAAACTAGATTTAAGGTGTCCAACTGCAACTATGTATAGGCACCACTAATTTAATACAATAACATCTTAAATAGGTCAATGGAACAGCTGAAAACGCTAATACGTAGTCTATAATGAAATTGCGTCCTACATTTAAACGTTTGTTACTAGCTTCATCGTAGTCAACTACTGGAAGGAGACCCTGTGATTTTTTCCCCAAATAATAACATGAACGTACAACTGCCACTTTATAATAGTAAATCTTCCAACCTATTAAACTATAAATCAACAATAAAACAAAACAAAAAAATCATACACATTTACAATAACAACCATTATAGCAAAACTGCAGGTAGTGGAACCAAGCCCATAACAGAAGTTTGCTTTAATGAAGAAGAAAATAAGGAAGGATCATAAACATGAATAAGTTAGTGACACGTTAGCCTTTCTGGAAACAATGGAGTAACGCAATTTATACGTCATCAACATACATCCACTTTTATTTTACCTGAATCTGAACAGGGTAGTTTTGGCTAGCATTCAAGTATTCGAGTTTTTCTTTTGGTTGACTTAACTAAAAATCCCGACATTGGTTAGATATCGGTGCATTGACCGAACTGGCAATGTAAATAGTACACTATGTTTTTTCTTTTATAATATTGGAATTTAATTTCTTTTTCTTGGTGAATAGTTTCGTTTTCCGAAATAAATCACAATGACGATTGTTACCTATTAAATACCGCCTCTTATCAAATAAAACCAGCGTAAGTCCTTGTTAAGATTAATCTACTCGAATAGATTTTAAGATTAGTAGGCCAGGATATGATTCGTTAAAAAGAAGTGTTTAACGTTTGACCTTTTCCAATAAGCATAATATTTCTTTTTATTATTGTTTATCACTGTTATATTCTTCTATAAATTACGATAATTATAATATTAGAAATTCAATAATATTAATCAATACGGTCTCACTATTATCAACTCTTGAGTGATTTATTTTGATTATCAATCCAACCAACTGCTAGTAGAAGATTGTCGTCACATTCAAGTTGTTATCTTTCCAATGTATTTTAAAATTTAATCTAATTATCGTCGAACCATAACAAATGAAAATGTTTTTTTTACAATAATAATTTGACCTGTTAATCCAACAGCTATTTACAGCAAAAAATATCTGAGACAAACTCTGAAAGTCCTCACAAAAATTTATATAATACATTAAATTGTTTATTTAAAAGGACCGCTCAAGCGAAGTGTTATTCAACACCTATTTCTACTGAAATGGTTCTTTAATGTTTGATTAGTAAGTCATTTGTTTTTTCGCCTTTTTTCCTCTTTTTATTTATTTTGTAGCCCACATCAGTGACCTTTGGCCTTATATTTGTCGAATTATTAAAAAAAAATAAACCGTAGTAAATTTACAATGAGACACATCAATTCTGAATACGAAACTACCTCAAATGTATTACCTGATAATTTAAGCGTTTACAAAGAATATATCATAAGAATGCTATTGTGTGTCTTACATCATTTCATCTTTTTATATTGCTGAAGACGGGAAGGTTTTTTTTTTAATATATAACAATTTTTTTAATCGTTTTATAACAAATTCAATAAAACAAGCCATCTTAAAATCTCGAATAGATCATTGTAGGCGATAAAATACGTTTGACATTATAGCCCAGTAACTGACATTTAACAAAAGGGTAAAGGAAATGGTTACACGTGACTCATATTAAATAAACCCGGGAAGATGATGCATGCTTTAGGTGCGTGAGAATTGTTCGTTATATTTAATCCGAAAACGATGCATCATTATGTAGGTAAATCCTTAGAGACTGTCCAAACAAGAATATATTCTGCACTCTTAAATTTAAACATTATTTTCAAGCATTAGATAGCGAGATAGCGTGATTTTACGTGCATCATGATAACACAATACAACTGATGTTATCAATATATAAGATTTCATATCCTAAAATTAACCAATTTTAAGTATTCAAAATTTGCTCTCTAATGAACCTTATTCATTTTCCATTTAAGCATTTCATAACTCGTGGTCATGAAGTTAAACTATTTAAAAGTAGGTCTTGTTTATTATATTAGAAAATTTTCCTTTAGCTGCAAAGTTACTGATCTTGGAACGGTCTTCCTCATGAAAGCTTTTCAAGTTTAAATATATTACAATCTGCCTTAAATGGTTGGTCGGGGCTTCCTTCTAATTTTTCTTTTTCACATTATAATCACAAACATTGTATACATTTACAACATTTTACTTTTTCAATGCATAGTTTCATCTGTTATTTTAGTATTTGTATAGCGCCTATTCCGTTATGTTACAAAGCGCTTTATATTATGTTAAATACTATCAAAACATTTTTACTTCAGGTATGACAACTTGAAAGTAAAGTGTTACTTTTGTTCCTTTCAGTGTGTTTGGCTTTCAGCTGAAAATTATAACGACAAACATTTTTATCTTTAATTTAATGTGTCTATGTCTTCGCATAGGCCTAACTCGTATTTCTGGCAGCAAATTAATTTGTGTAGGCCTATAGTAAAATGTTTATAAATCATTTATTTTTAAAAATCTTATTGGAACATTTGATAGCTTACGTGCTTTGTTAAATGAGTAATTCAAAGTTATATTTTCATTTTTATGAGTTTTAAATTGATTGTGTGGGTGATCTTTGGAGTAGGCCTATCTTTTAATCGATTGCCAAAATAATTAAGTGGGTTCCTGTGATACCCCTCGCGCGTATAAAACAACGGACGTGATTTATTGACTTAATTCACTCAAACTAAAAACATGCTAAAAAATAATAATACCGTATTCAATCATTTCACCATGAAATTCAGGCGAGAAATTTGGCTTCCGGTTTGATGGGTCGCGTCTGAGTGCTTGACATATAATTTGGGTCGTGGGCTAAAAAGCTTGCGGGACGGGGATATATTCCATAATGTTGTTATACAGTATACAACACAGGGCGGGAAGCGGCGGAACGTTTTACAGAGTGGGAGGGCCCACCAGCATTTCTTTCCGATCATACAAAGATCTGCATAGAAATTATTTTCTGCCAAAAAAGTGGGGAGCATGGGACCTCCGCTCCCCCCCCCCCCGGTTCCGCCGGCCATGTGACATACTGGTTGTGTTTAGCAGACCTATAAATAATTTAGGCAAAGAGACACACATTTATTATAGTGTGGATAGGGATTTAAATTGTGTGACTATTTTATTCATATTATCACCGATCCTATAGGATCTGTGATATTATGATACACACAATTGCCGCATGCTTGATCTCTATTCCAAAAAAAATACAAGTTCAATCACAACATAATCCATTTACATTTATTCACTTCCCATCACCACTGCTGTTAAAA